CACCTGCTCTGTTGTGCTTGTCCTCCCGTGGCTGAACTGAGAGCCGGCAGCCCCCTCCTCGGTCTCTGGCTGGCTGTGTTCTGCCTCTTCCCACAGCATCTCCCTGCAGGCCCCATGGCCACTCCCAGTGCTGCCCCTACTCCTGTTGTGACCCTAGCACCCGAGCCTGGAGGCTTGGTCCCTCATCTGTAAAGTGGGGTACAAATATAATGATGTCAGAAACCCCACCTCACAGGAGCACAACAGAAAATGATGCACACATGATTAGATCAATTGTAGTTTTCACCGTGTTTGTCCCACCTCAAGGGAAGCTGGGAGGAAATCCTCGCTGTTAGGCCCTCATTCCCAGCAGGTTAAGCTTTGTTCCCATAAGGGAGTCCAGGGCTGGCTGAGAAGAAGGTGCGGGATTCCCAGGTGCCACTGTGCAGAGCTGTGGCCCAGCAGAGGTAGGGTGTCAACAGCTTGGAACTTACACTTGAGACTCCATGTACAACTGCAAAGCAACCTCCCCTCCCACCCTCCATGACCCTGGCAGGGGAGGGTGATAAGATTCAGAGGGTACAGGTAGGAGGTGGTGTGTGATTTAAGGGCATGTCTGAGACCCTTGACCCAGACTAGCCTCGTTCACCAAGGCAGCCAGGATCCCGCAGACTGGAGGACAGCTTTTGGTTCTCCCCCAGACTTACTTCCACCACAAACCCTGACCCATCCTGCAGGCGCTGGGAGGAGGATGAGTGTGGGCAAGGAGCAGAGGGAGGGGGAGAGGAGGGGAAGTCAGGGAAAGTTGGGTGTAGGAGACAGAGACAGGGACAGCTGCAGAGCAGGAATCAAAGCGACATGGCCAAAATCAACTACACAAGAAACAACACTTGTTGACAAGGATGCGGAGAAAGGGGAACCCTCTTGCACTGTTGGTGGGAATGCCAGCTGGTGCAGCCGCTCTAGAAAACAGTGTGGCGTTCCCTCAAGATGTTAAAAATAGAGCTATGGCCCAGCAATCACACTGTTGGGGATTTGCCCAAAGAATACAAAAACACTAATTCAAACATACACCCCTATGTGTATTGCAGCATTATGTACAATAGCCAAACTATGGCAACAGCCCATGTCCTTTGACAGATGAATAAAGAAGATGTGGTGTGTATATACGATGGAATATTACTCAGCCATAAAAGGAATGAAATCTTGTCATTTGCAACGACGTGGGTGGAGCTAGAGAGTATGATGTTAAATGAAATAAATCAGGCAGAGAAAGACAAATACCGTATGATTTCACTCCTATGTGGAATTTAAGAAACAACACAGAGGGAATAAAAGAAAGAGAACAATAACAACAACAACAACAAAAGTGCAGACTCTAAATTCTAGAGGACAGACTGACGGGTCCCCAAGAGGTGGGCTGGGGGGACAGGGAAATAGCGGATGGGGATTAGGAATGCGTCGTCTGTGATGACCACAGGGTGATGCATGGAAGTTGAATCACCGTATTGTACACCTGAAGTTAACATCACACTGTATGTTAATGGCGCTGGAATTAAAATTAAAGACTTTAAGAAAGTGACAGAGGAAGTAGAAGAGTCGTTGGTGAAGCACGGGGGAGTGAGAGAGCCAAAACGGTAGGAAGAGGGAAGACCTTGTCTCCCACATACATCTGGCTTCCGTGGTGAGACTGGTCATTTGGTCGGTGTGTCTGACATCCAGTGCCTCTCTTAAGAGTAAATTGAAAACTGTGAAGGACCAAAGAGCATTTTCCTCCTTCCTGATTAAGGAGGGCTTCTTGATTCTCTTAGCTTTATCAATTAATGGTTGTTTTCCAGTTTCAGAAAGTAAATTCCCGAAGGTTGCAGGTGTTTGAATTTCTTGAGGTGTGAGAAAATGCCAAACTCTGCCAGGCACTTGCTGCCCCCTGCTGGCTTAAGCCTGGTTCTGCACTTTCTGCTGCTGGGAATTGGGCTCCAACTGCATTTCATGATTTCCTTTGCTGGCTCTAAAATCACAGACTGTAAGAGCTAAAAGGAACTTAGATCTCCAGCCCCACCCTCTTCCCTAAGCTGTAGACTTGAATTTTTATAAACCTTCTGGATACTTCCATCTGAACCTCAAACTCAGCCAGTCCACAGCACAGTTAAGATAGTATATTTTAATTAATACACAATGCAAGCAAATGATTACAGAATGATAATGGGTTATGGTCAGTGCTGGGATAGAAATGCATTGGGGTGCTCTGTGACTCCAGGGGAGAGGTCACACTGGAGAACATGCAAAGAGCAGCTGAGGTCATGGAAGTCTGTGGAGGCAAAGCATGGCTGGTGCTGTTAGGGCAGAATATTAAGGCTGTTAAGGAGAATGTGGGGTTGCGGGAGAGGTTGGGAGGAGAGGGCAGAGAAGAGCATTGAGACAGGCACAAATAGGCTCAGAGAGTTGGAGGAAATGCTCTCATTCAGGATGGCTGGCCTGGATGTCGGGAAGCAGCAGAAGGCAAGGCTGTGAGGACAGCAAGTCCAGATCAAAGGCCCACATCCCTTACTAAAGGAGATGATTGAACTGGGTTCTGTATCCATAAAATTCCACACTCTGCCTATGAACATGTCATTCATGATGTTCCAGGTCATCACGCATAAATTGGGGACTGTCCTGGATAAACGGAGACATGGCAGTCGACTCTAGCTAAGCCTCAAATACACATCCAACCCCTTGGTCTCTTGGAGGTTTTCCGTCTTGTACTCTGAAAGCATGTGGTGAACACTCGGATCATAACCTCTGTAATGATCTGTCCTGTGTTTCCTGCACTGCACTAGGAGGTCCTTGGAAATGAGGGCTAGGTTTTATTCATGTTTGTATCCTTAAAACCAGTGCTATGCCTGGGACACAATTGATAATAAATCAGAACAAAATAAAGCTAGGAGGTTGTGAGGGCACTCTTCTAGGCACCTGACACACATTATATCATTGAATAATGGAGGATGTGTGCACTTTTATTAAGTTCGTTTTCTAGATAAGGAAGCCAAGACACCAAGAGTTTGTGTAACTTGCCCAAGATGACACAGCATAGGAGAAGGAAGGGGATTCTAATCTAGGGCTTATTTCCAGAGCCTATGAATGAATAAAATGAAGTCTTGACAGACCTAGATTTGGATTTGCAGAATCATCTAGGAGCCCGTTCCCCAAGGCCTGCGGGGGAACCAGTCAGTGATGAGTGTGTGAATGGGAAAGCACCAGCTTCATTTGCATGATCCTGTGCGGTTGACCAAACCACTCCCCATCCATTGTCTCCTGTGGTCCTCACAACAGCCATGATCTCCAGGTGGAACCATTATTCCCATTCTATGAATGTGATCACTGAGATTCCCAAGGTCAATAAACTATTCAAGCCCACATAGAAAGTATTCCCTTTGAGCCTGTGTCTCTGGACTCCACAGTGCTGTGGTCTTTTTAACTGACAACACAATTATCCAGAAGGAAATGAATCCTTCTGATGAATTTCTCCATCTCTGAAATGGGAGTTCATGTCTACCTGGGGGTGGGGGTAGTTGTAAGGATGACCTGATAGATGTAGAGTGACAAGGGGTAGGCGCTCACTAACGGGTCATGTGGGAGTTGATGTTACCACCCCCACTGTCACCACCACCACCACCATCATCACCAGAGAAGACCTGAGATTTGGGGTAGCATATTCTAAGCATGGGTTCGGAGCCATAAATTGAAGTAAAATGGCCAAATATAGGAGGGAGCTTAAAATCTGGCGTAGATCCCTCGGTAAGGTTGATATAGATTCAGTTCTGCAGATCAGAAGGCTTATTGATCAGAAGACATGATCAGGACCACCAAGGGTCAGAGCCAGGACTTGCGTCCTCAGCCAAGACCAGGAGCAGATGTTTCCAAACCTTACGTTGTGGGTCTTACCGTGATGGCATGAGATAGTTTTCTCTTTGGCCAAACTGTGAGTTCATGATGGCAGATCCAGCATATTCATCATGGAATTCCAGCTCTCTTTCCCCCTTGCCTGCCATATAAATATCGAAGAAATGAATGAGTGAGTGAGTGAATGAATGCACCAGCATGACCCCACTTACACAAGCAAGCCCACAGCACGTGGGCTGGAACCCAGCAGGGTGGAGAGCCAGATCACACAGAGCAGAAGAATCTGGAGTATGTGGTACCAAGCCTCACCCATGGGCCCTAGGGAGCCTGGTGCTGAGCATTTCACCGAGACTTTCCACCAAGAAGGAGGGAGAGCCATTTCTCTTTGCTGATATCCTGAAGCATGCACACACGTGAACATACACACACGACAAGCTCTCCCTCCCCCCATCCTCCCGCCAACTGAATTTATGTAGATAATCATCTCAAAGGACTATTTGCAGTTTGCTCCTGCCTGAGACAGGGGCATGAACCAGATGACGCTTCTGTGACTTTTCCGGGTGTAGCAGGCTGCATCCTTCTCTATGGCGGGTCCTATTCTTTCTAGTATGAAGACCACTTTGTAATTTCAAGAACAATTCTGAAGGGCCCCAGATGAAAGAGGTCATTTCCTTTATTAACTGGGGACTGTAAAAAGAATAATACTAAGCCATGGAGACAGAGGTTTTTGCTGAATTTATCGATCTTTGAAACGAACTTGTCATTTGTTTGTACTGAGACTGTTTCGCATGTTTGAAAACCATTGTTCTATATGTGCGGGATGCACCATTCATTCATTTATATTCCTGTTGCTTTACCAAAGCTCGTGGGAAATTTTGGTCTGGAAGATGTCTGCAGCCCCCAGCTGAGTCCACTAATCAGCTGTTAAAGCGCAAGTGTGCACATTGCTTACCTCTCCTCTGGTCTGTTTTCTTTAGCTGGAATAATAATCCCTACCTGCCTCATTGGTTTGTGGGCGGTTACGTGGGATAATGAGTCAAGCACATGCCAGTGTCTCAGGGAAGTTGTTGCTTCACCATGGTTGATGCCGTCCTCTGGAGCTAGTTGGTACTAGATGCTTCCTCCTTCCTCCCCTCCAGGTTCCTCATTGTCCTGGGATGCTTGATTCTGGCCGTGCTGACCACATTCAGGGAGTACGAGACTGTTTCGGGAGACTGGCTGCTGTTACTGGTGAGATTTTGCACCTCCCCCTACAGTGTGCTTCCAGGATCGATGCCTCTGGTTGGACTTCTGCAGTTGAGAACAAGGAGGCTGCCCTTGGGCACAACTGGTTTTGGCTTCTGGGCCAAGCCCAGTCCCAGGAGAAACCAATGCCTGGGTCAGTTGGGCAGGTCTGCATGGGCGCGGTGGAAGGGAATGGTATTTTTTATTCTAGACTAAGGACAAGAGGGCACCAACAAGGTCAAAGCGAAAACCAAAGTACGTTAGTTATATGATAAAGGCATCTTCCCAGTCCTCTGAAAGTTAACACAGAGTCATGCTCTGTTCTGAAACCTGCCTCTGCTTTTCCTCCCTAAACCCTGAGGATCTCTGACTCTCTTCAAGGCCAAGTACCAAATCCTATTTGTACATTAAAACTCGTCCTCACTCCTGAGGCCTCTGCCTGGTTTATTTCTCTGTTCACCCATCTACACAGGGAAGGGATGCCAGCCCCCGATTAGGGTCTACAAAATAGCAGGATCTTCACCTCGCACTGAGCATGCTGTCTGTGATGCCAGATGCAGGGGGCTCCTTCTGAAGTCAGGTGTTTTCAATTCAAACAGTCTCACGTTAATCCCGAGAAGCCATCCAGCTCCAGGAACTAGGTTTCAGGGATTATCATGGAGCAGCAACTCTCCAAGGGTCCCAGGAGGTCACCAAAGAGGGGGACAAAGGTGTCTGTGTCTGACCAACGAGAAAAGAGAGGCAGGAGGGAAGGAAGAGATCCAAGGTCCAGGGAGACAGCACAGCGTGGTGCTCTGAGCCTGATTATCAGCCTGGGAGTCCCTCTTCACCACATCCTAGTCTGGAGAGACTTGTGTAACTACTCCTTGCCTTGGTTTCTCAAAACATAGAATGAGAATAATATTATAAAACACTTGAGGTGGTGCCTGGCCCAGGAGCCATGCTTAGTAAATGTTGACCATAAGTAGCAATAGCCAGGGCCAGGCACTGGGTGGGACTAGCAGACTGTTTCATTGGTCTTTCTCTTTTCCATTTAACTCACTTAGAGACTTTTCATACATGAAAACAGAATTTTAAGAAATAATCCACTGGAACTGAAACAGAAAAAACAAAGAATCCCTTTGCAAAGCTGATGTTAGGGACAGTTAGCACATCCACATGGACACTGGAGCTGTCCAAAACTGCGTGGAGGTGATAACGTGTTCTCCTTCCCCCTCTGCCACCAAAACAGCAACGGAAATCCCGCTCTTCAAAACCTCAGAGCAGAAATCCCTAGTCCCAGACAACTGGGTCTTGGTTGATCCGTGTCTCTCCATATGTTCTTAATGCAGGAAACATTTGCTATTTTCATCTTTGGAGCCGAGTTTGCTTTGAGGATCTGGGCTGCCGGGTGTTGCTGCCGCTACAAAGGCTGGCGGGGAAGGCTGAAGTTTGCCAGGAAGCCCCTGTGTATGCTCGGTAGGTAAGCCCTGACCCGAGTCAGGGGGTGCCTCTGTCCCCCTGCTTCTGGTGCACCTTTTCCCCGAGAAGATTTTCAGCAGCTTCTGTCCTTCTGGGAAACCATGGGTTGTAATGGAAACCTGTGCAGCCTCTGACCCTACCTCAATGAGGAGGAGCTGCTCCAGTGTTCCAGACACAGAATTCCTTCTTCTGTGGCTTGCCCTCCTCATGGTTTACAGGGCCATGATCCTTGATGAGAGTGGTGGGGGGCACTCCTGGCATTTGGGCTGTGAAGGCGCCACTCATTATAGGATGCTGAGCACCCCCCAGTCCCTAGACTGGTAGCCTCCCGGCATCGTGACAACCAAAATCGCCTGTACACTCCCAAGACTGGTGGTTGTGGGTGTGGGAGAAGTGATACCACTGCTGGTTGAGAATTGGGTCTATGGACCCACATTGTGCCCATTTTACTGAGGAGAACACCAAGGCTCGTGGTGCTGAGTCATTTTCTAGTCACACGGGTAGTAAGCAGCAGATTCCACCCTAACACCAAGGTCTGGAAGAATCTAGCACCTGTTCCCTCCCTCCCTACCATGTTGCTGGGTCTTGACCCTGAAGCTGCTTTGGGAAGACATCACCGACACCTTTGCCTCTGGGTGCAGGCATTTGATAGTAGAGAAGGTGGACCCTTTTACTTACCCTTGTTGGTGCAGCATGAAGGCATGTTTCCGTCTGAAGATCCCACTAAAATCGGAGAGTGGCAGTGATAGGGAGGAGTTGGAACCTCAAATTCCTCGTGATGGTTAAAGTTGCAGGATCACAGGACCTTGAAAGACCCTCCAAAGGTACTTAGTCCAACATGCCGTCCCGTCTGATGCTCCCGTCCTCTTCACAACAGCAAGTGGTCACCTGCTTGCATACCTCCAATCCCAGGGCACTCGCTACGTCCCCCATATTTATTCCATCTGCAGTCTTCTGACTCTTCAGATACTTGAGTTCAGTAATTCTGTTCCTCCTCTCCACTGTGGCAGTGGAAAAGTGCGCTTAGTGGCTTCGGCTGTACCTCATACCATGTTCTCAGCATCGTCCTCCCTCTTCTCCAAGCATGCTCACTAAAGTGACCCCCCAGGACTGAACATGGCCCTTTGGGCGTGGATAGCCAGCCCTCCATGCTTCCTGCTCCAGAAAGAGAGCAGGAGCCCTCCTCTGTCCTAAGTGCCACACTTCTCTCTGGGCAGCCAGGGGGGCCTGCCTTACTTGCAGGTTGCCTGGCACAGTGACTGTACCCCCTGACTGCTGGTTGAACCCCCTCTCCCTTCTTCCCATCTGCTGCTGAGGCTGGATCCCCGAGGGTTTTGTGTATCACATGTTTAATGCAAGGAGAGGCTATGTGGGTGTGGGTGTGCATGGACGTGCACACAGTTTTGGAGGACTTTGTAGTTACTGATTTTTTTTTTTTCATGTTTTTCAACCTTCTCCCTTTTTTGTCCTCCTTCCCTGTCTGCTCCTATCTCAGTCCATTCTGGCAACTCTAACAATGCCATGGACTACTGCCTTATGAAACAGACAAATGTATTTCTCACAGTTCCAGAGGCCGGAAGTCCAAGATCAGGGTGCCAGGCTCTGGTCGAGTCCCTCTTCTGGGTCACAGACTGCCCACTTCTTGATCTCCTTGCTGTGTCCTCAGGGAAACTCTCATCAGGGACCTGATCCCTTTTGTGAGGGCTCCACCCTCATGACCTCACCATCCCCCACAAGCCCTGCCTCCTAAGCCCATCCCACTGGGGGCCAGGATCTCAGGAGCTGAATTGGGAGGAAACAAACATTCAACCCATAGCAACCCCAGTTTGCCTCCCCTTCTTCTGCCTTCCTTTAGAGTCTTTTGCAAGGTGTTAAGTGGACTTCATTTTCTCCTTTGGAGAGTCCTATCCAGTGCTGACCAGAAGTCCTGTGTATGTGTTGAGGGGGTGTGGGGGAGGTGACTTTATACCCAAATTCAGAGGTCCTTACCCCGTTTGAGAACATCCTAGTATTGTATGGAGCCTGAACCCTTCCAGGAAAAGAGCATTGCCCATGGAACAGTCTCCACTGTTCCAAAAGGGGCTGATTTGACTGAGCTCCCTGTCGTGTTCCATTGCCAGCCTCCCCTGGAGACCCGAGACCAGCCCTCAGCATCACCATCCTGGCTGCCTTCCTTTCTGGGATGCCCGTGTTTTCTGCTCTCCTCCTCTCGACTTCTCCCATAATATGGCCCTTATGAGAAATACTGCTTTTCTCTGTGTGTTTGACTTGAGGGTGGTCACCCGCCAGGGAATATCATGGCCTTCATATCCGAGGCAGCTCCAGACCCTGCCATCTTGGGTGTGAGTCGGTCCATCTGGGACAGAATCTCCCATTCTCTCCAAGCATTATAGACTCAACTCACATTTGCCCTACATCCAGGTTTTGTTTTCTCTTCCTTTCTGCAAACATTATAAGTGGATAACTTTGCACAGATCAGCTGAGAGGCCTGGCCAAGGATACAGACATGTTGGTATCCAGATGTTTGACACTGAGCTTTTCCCCAAAGTTAGGCACATCTGGGGGATACCTTGAAATGGCAGAGATACCGAGATGTGAATTGAGGGACCTATTCCAAGCTGGAAGACCGATATAGCAGAAGTTTGGAGGTCCGGGAGAGACCTCCTAAACAGTCCTATGTCCAAAGTCTTTGGGGAAATGCTGTACTTTGTGTGTGTAATTGAAAGCCACAAAGCATATTAGGATATTGAAGGTTCCTAGAAATCCTACAGTAGCAAAAGGTGCTTAATCATATCCCCCCAGATTTACTTGGTTGTGGAGTCCCTTTTACCTGCTGACCCTCTGCAGTGTGGTGGGGAGATGGTTGGTATGGGTGTTGGGGGCCACTAGAGGGAATAGGAAGGGACCAGCGGATATGCCTCTGTCCTTGGCTATTGGCTTCAGGAGCCAGCTTGGAAGGAGAGGAAGAAGAGGACAGACACAAGCAGGAGTGCTACAGTGAGCGCAAGAAGGCAGACCGGGGTTCCAGTCCCCTCATCCCCTCCGCTTCTCTGTTTTCAGTCACAGCTGTGAGGGCAGGCCACATGTTTTACTGCAGTCTACCCTAGGGCCTTTCCTGAAGCCAAGAGAGACCACCAGGCTGTGCAGCTCAAAAGTGTGGGGGCATCACCCACCCCTGGGGTGGCCCTCCACCTGCAGGGGATGGAAGCCAACGGACAGAGGTCCCAGATCCCATCTTCCAGAGTGACCATCCTGGGAGGCAGCTTATAACTCCCTTTTCCTTGCCTCTCTCCTTCCCTGTCTCCCTCTTCCCCTCTCTGGTGCCTCCTGAGATGGTCTCCCGATGAATCACCCAAGGCCAAGGCCCTGACTTGGTGCTGCTTTTAGGGGAAATGTTCCTTCAACCATGTCTGAGCTTCAGGCTTTCCCTGCATGGCCAGGGCATATTCCTGTCCCCTCTGGGCGTGAGAGTGACCCTGCCACCCTGGGGGACCTTGGGGACTCGCTTCCCTGGGATGGAGAGTGAGTGCTGGAGCCTGGCAGGCCCTCATCCAGGGTCCACTCAGCGATATCCATCCGGCCCTGTAGCCATGGGAAGGCACACATGCTCAGGTTCTGTTTCCTCATCTGCTGCGGGAGAATAAACCCGTGGAGCACGTGTGACTGGTGTCACGATTTCGCACCGTCCGCTTGGCGCGTGTGTGTCCACGGGCAGCCAGCCCCTGTGACGGCTCCACCACGCTCGCCTGACCGTCTCGTCCTCTCCCCTGCCACCCTCTGTCCTCCTTCCCAGACATCTTCGTGCTAATCGCCTCTGTGCCGGTGGTTGCTGTGGGAAACCAGGGCAATGTGCTGGCCACTTCCCTGCGCAGCCTGCGTTTCCTGCAGATCCTGCGTATGCTGCGGATGGACCGCCGGGGCGGCACGTGGAAACTCCTGGGCTCGGCCATCTGCGCCCACAGCAAAGTAAGTGCCACCCAGAAGCGTCTCCCCCCGCTGGGCCCTTCAGGGCATCCCCCGCCCTCACAGCGTCCCCAGAGGGTGGTCGCTTTGCCACCACTGGTGACAGGATGGGGAGGAGGAGGAGGAGGAAGAGCAGGGGCACCAGCAGAGGGGCCGCAGCCGGCACAGCAGGCAGACCTGGGTTCAAGTCCCGGGCTCCACCGAGTGCCTACGACCGTGGCCAAGTCACTCCACTCTCCTTGAGCCTTGGTTTCCTGATTTCTAAACTAGGGAGAACAATGGCTCTGCCTCCAGGTGGGTGAGGGGGTCAAATGAGCCAACCTCAGGCGGCTCAGGATGGGAGGGGAAGCTTCAGGACTGGCCCAGACTAGTGGGAGTCCAAACTCCATTGGTGTGACTCTGGGGATTTTCTGACTCTGAATTTAGAAAATGAGGATCATAATGTGCTCACTTCCTAGAATGAAAAGACTTAGAACATGCTCTATTTTTATGAGCTGCCTTAACAGTTAAAATGAGGATCTTTCTGGCTGTCCGCACAAGAGGTACATATGAGTGCCTGGTAAACAGTAGGTGCTCTTTAATGGTAGTGTTTATTATTCCAGATATGCTTTTCTTCACAAACAGTACAAATAAATACCTAAATAAAGTGAAATACACTGGGAGTCCTTCATCTCACGATGCTGCTCGTTTGACCCATCTGTGCTACCTCTGACCCCAGATTCGGCGAGGTCAGCGCTTTCTTTCACGAGTTCTCCACCTGACGGTCCACTCTTATCAGAGGACGTGCTAGTGACACCTAACCTTTTATGGTTTTTTAAATTTTTTTTTATGTTTTTTTTAAAGATCTTATTCATTTGACAGAGAGAGATCACAAGTAGGCAGAGAGGCAGGCAGAGAGAGAGGAGGAAGCAGGCTCCCCACTGAGCAGAGAGCTCGATGTGGGGCTCCATCCCAGGACCAGGACCCCGAGATCATGACCCGAGCTGAAAGCAGAGGCTTAACCCACCGAGCCACCCAGATGCCCTGACACCTACCTTTTATCCATGAAGCTGAGCTGATGCACAGCTCCTGTAGAAGTCAGGGCAGAAATGGCTGGTTTTGATTCTCGTCCTGGGTTCCCTCCAATCGGAATAGAAAACAGTTGCCGATCCACCAGGTAATTCCTCGGAAAAGATACGTCCACACCACCACCAGACTCTACCTCAGAGGTAAGGTGGGCAGAACTTCCAGACAAAATGGCATCTCTATGGTAGGAGACCAAAGGCAGAAAAAGAAACTGCTGGTCAAGCTCCATCTGCCATTCCTCCCTCTCAGACGACCCCCTTCTTAGCCTGGTGCAGTTCCTGAGCTGCACAGAGGCCGCCCAGCCTGCCTTCCCTCCCAGGGCCGGCGTTGTGTTGAGGAGGTGAGCACACGCCTGGGTTGGAGTCCTGCTTCCACATTTATTAACTACAAGAGCTTAGCCCAGTTCCTCCTCCAAGCCTGGTGAACTGGCACTTAGCACTTGACGTCTTCATCCATTTGTTCCAAACTTCTGGACTCTGGACCATGTTCCATGATTGACTTCTCTGGGAGCCAACGATGCCGAGTGGGAGGCCTGAGGTTGTACAGGGTTACAGTTTCAAAGTTAGGATAAGGCCAGGCTGTGCTACCAGAACAAAGAAGCCGCAAAGGCTCTGCAACTTGGTGCAAAAAAAAGGTGGATGTCTTCTCACTCACACAGCGGATGTGAGCTAGGTGGCCCTCATCTGTCCTGAAAATGGGGACTGAGTCACAGAGTTAGCAGAAAAGGGGCTGGGAGCACCGTGCAGAATGGATTTAAGGAACAGGCAGGAAGTTGCTGCCAACTTTCCTCCACATTGGCTCCACCCCAATCCCCTAGCACCCCAGCTCCCCAGCACCCCAGCCCTCCAGCACCCCAGCCCCCAGCACCCCAGCTCTGGTCTGACTTCAGGGCAGCTCAGGTGTGTACAGGAGTCTGTGGGTATCAGGAAACAGCCATGGGCTCTGCCACAGAGCTGCTGGCATAAATTGTGTAAAGTCAGAATTACCTCGAATAGCCTTTTAAATGACTGCAAAGCACAGAAATTGGACACATTTTCACTCCTCGTCAATGACCATTATGCTACATCTTAATAATCCAACACAACCAGGCTTTCAGTGCGGTCATGAACAGACAACAATTTCCGAAGCTAAGCACCAGATGCAACTTTTGACTCGCGTTCAGGTGCCAAAGGGTATGAAAAACATAGGAATGCTAGAGCCGCACTCAACAGGGCAAGAGGCTGGTGCCCTGACGGCCCCAGGGGAAGGACTTACCATTTCACCTTTGTCTTCTCCAAGCCTGGGCAGGGCAAACACTCGCTGAAGGGGGTGACCCGCAGGGGTCCTTGCGCCATCTGAACTAACCTCTCTGGGCTGTAAAGTGAATTCACGCAGATGTGAGTTTTGTTGTGGGGGAGGTCAGACCTGAGCAGCAGGCATAGGAAGTGTTAGAGATTCAGAGAAAGCCTACTCAGGAAATCGTGAACGTGTGAAGGGACTAGAGCTGACCTCAACATCGGGACGCAAGGGAACACTTTTGAAATGGAGGTTGCCGCTTCCAGTTGGCGACGGGAGAAGAATTAGGCACAAACAAGTCAGCTGCAAGAGCTTGGGAGCTGGGGACAACAGATGAAAAGGACTGCGGCCACGAGCAACTCCACAGTCTCAGTTTTATTGGATAGAAACAAAAGCCAACAGAAGGACCGATGAAAGTCAAACGTTAGTCACCTGTCTTGCGGACAAGCAAGGAGGAGGACAAAGTTTATCGTTAACCAAGCACATTCAAAGGACTCATCTAACTAACAACGGGTGCTTCTGGGAAGAGAAAGGAGCGGTAACGGAAAAGGGAAGCAGGCGGTTTTCATTCCACCCTGAGCTGACCGGGCGTCCCGAGTGCTCGGCTTCCCTGAAGCAGGCGGAGTTCTGCCCTGAGCAAGCCGGGCATCCCCAGCTGCCCAGCTTCTGTGAAGGGGCGGCCTTCCGCCCTGCAGTGAGCATCCCCAGCTGCCCAGCTTCACGGTCGTACATCGTCCTTCTCCCCAAAGACCTGTTGCCGGTATATGTATTTCTTAAGGCCATATCTAAATGTGCTTGGCAACTAGTAAAATCCTCCAAGGGTTACAGTTTAAGTAACAAATTGTTCCAAGGGGCAGCAGCAGGAGGTGACTCTGGTCTCAAGATGAAGCTGCTCTTCAGTTGGGTCCATGGGAAAAGGCAGTGCAGGGACAGAGGCCAATGTGAGCAAAGGCACAGAGGGAGGCAGGAATCAAGCCCGAGATCCTACGGACCCAGAAGGCCAGCTGCCTGGCCGCTGATGGTCAGACAGAGGAAGTACATTGATATGAACAACTTTATTCCCTGGGATGATTTAGCAGGAGCATCTGTCCTCATCTCCAGACTGTGCTCGCCAATCACCTTGACTTTCTTCTGCCCAGGCTACCATGCTGAACTTTGAAATTGGAGCAGAATGAGAGAAATAGAGTCTTAGGGATTGTTTGGGTCAAGGTGTTTGAAAACCTTGGTGATTTGCAGATCTTTGCCATATCCCTGCACCATCCTTACTATTCCTTAGCATTGTTCTCTAAGTCAACTCGCTTTGTGCACTTACTAACACGTCCTAATCTATTGTGTGATAATATCCACGAAATAAAAGATTTTATGCTCATTTTAATTTATACTGGTTTCTAATATTATTTAAATCAGGATGTGACTCTTTAACATAAAAACTACCTGCCTTCCTTCCATCAGGAGTACACAGGTCATTTTTAAGAACTGCAATCCACTCCCTTCATTTTGAAAATAAAGAAACTAAAGCTGGGAGGGGGCTAATTTGCCCAGGGTGGAGGCAATCAGTGGCAGGGCTGGGTTAGCTCTGCCTCGCTAGGTCCCCCTGCTGTCGGTTTTCCAGTAGTGCTGAGCTTTATCCCGGATCTGCTCAGCCCTGCGTGGAATCAAGTAGCCCCGGTCCTGTGCCTTGACTAGGAGGCAGATGCCCATTTCGCCTGCCTTCCTGTCTCCCTGTGAAGCCTCTTGAACTGTGATGTCAAGGTCTCCTGAAGACAGAAATCTTCCTCTCCTTTTTGATTATTGATGTTATTGATGGAAATAAGGACTGGATTATTATCAAAAAGACAAGAAGCAACTAGTGTTGGCAAGGATATGGAGAAAAGGAAGCTTCGTGCTCTGCTGGTGGGAATGTAAATTGGTGCAGCCACTGTGGAAAACTGTATGGAGGTTCCTCAAAAAATTGAAAACAAAATAGAATAAAATAAATAAAAAATTGAAACCAGAAATGCCATATGATCTAATAATTCCACTACTGGGTATTTATGCAAAGAAAACAAAAACTCTGATTCAAAAAGATACATGCACCCCTATGTTTATTGCAGCATTATTTACAGTAGCCAAGATATGGAGACCAACTAAATGCCTATCAGTAGATAAATGGATAAAGAAAATGTGGTGTACATACACAGAGGAATATTACACAGCCATAAAAAGGAGGAGATCCTGCCATTTGTGAGAACATGCGTGGGCATAGAGGATATCAGGCTAACTGAAATCAGTCAGACAGAAATCAGTCAGACAGACATATGATTTCCCTCATAAGTGGAATGTAAAAACAACAATAACCATCACATGAATAAACAAGCAAAAAACAGAAACAGACTGAGAAATACCGAGAACAAGCCAATGCTTGCCAGAGGGAAGGGGATGGAGAGTTGGACAAAATGGGTAAAGGGGAGTGGGAGATACAGGCTTCCAGTTGTAGAATGAATACGTTATGGAAATAGAAGGCACAGCAGAAAGAATACGGCCTGTGCTGTGGCACTATATGGGGACAATGGGAGCTATACTTGTGGTGAGCACAGGAACATGTATAAACTTATTGAATCCCTGAAACTCATGTAATTCTCATGAGTTTCTATTCTCAAATTTAAAAAAAGAAAAGGAAGGAGGAAAGGCTCAGAGGTAAGGTTCAGGGAAGGTAAGTAACTTGCCCACAGTCACGGAGCTGGTAAAACGGGCCCCCAGCTCTGGTGTGTCTGCCTCCAGCGTCCATCCAGAGACTTCCCAGTGATCACTTCCCTTGTCCACTGCTTGCTCTCCCAGGAGCTCATCACCGCCTGGTACATTGGGTTCCTGACGCTCATCCTTTCTTCATTTCTTGTCTACCTGGTTGAGAAAGATGTGCCAGAGGTTGATGCCCAAGGAGAAGAGATGAAGGAGGAATTTGAGACCTATGCGGATGCCCTTTGGTGGGGCCTGGTGAGTCACCATCTTGAAGGTCCCCCATAGGGACTGACAGAGAGAGGTAGAGGGCATGGCATGGGAGAGCTCAGGTGGGCAGGTGCATATGCAGGCACAGGCCAGAGCTCCCTCTGCAGGGAATGCACTGGAATGGGCTCTACCTTAGTACTTACAAGAAGTCAGGGCTAGGAATAGTCTGGGCCATCATCACTCGGGGCCCTTACTTCATTAGTGGTGGGTTGTTATCAGCTAAGCCATGCATGTGCAGACAGACACAGTAGCAGAAGCATACACTTGCACTCAGACCTTCAAACACACCTGGAAATCCACAGCTCATACCCACAGGGACACATGGTACTAAAGCTAGCATTTTTTTTTTTTTTTGAAAGAGAGCTTGAGTGGAGAGGGGCAGAGGGAGAAGGAGAGACAGAATCCTTTTTTTTTTCCCTTCAAGATTGTATTTATTTATTTATTTGATGGAGAGCTAGAGAAAGAGGACAGGACAGCAAGTCAGAGGTAGAGGGAAAAGCAGGCTCTCTGCTGAGTAGGGAGCCCAACGTGGGGTTTGATCCGAGGACCTTGGAATCATGACCTGAGCCAAAAGCGGATGCTTCGCTGACTGAGCCACACAGGCACCGTGGAGAGACGGAACCCTTAAGCAGACTCCCTGCTGAGCACAGAGCCAGATAGGAGGCTCCATCTCACCACCCTCAGATCATGACCTGAGCTGAAATCCAAAGTCGGATACGTAACCAACTGAGCCTCCCAGGTGCCCAAAGCCAGCAATTTTTGGAAGGCTTACTTTGCTCCGGAGCATTGCTCTAAATGCCTTATTAACATATTTTAAATTCAAACAACTCTTATTTAAGGAGTTGTTTTAAGCCCCTTTTTAAGACTGGGAAACTGAAGCAAGAAGTGGTTAAGTAAGTAATTAATCCAAGAAAGATCTCTGAGCCAGTTAATGGTTGACCTGGGATCTGAACTCAGGCAGCTGGGCTCCTGGGAGCACACACAGGACTGATCTGCCATCCTGTCCTGTGCATTCATGTGCACACAGTAACCTACAGTTGTAAACACATCAAGAACTAAACAACACGCATCAGCACAGACACACGCCCCGATGTGAGACATGCACACATGCACACAACATATATAAGTGCACTCGCGCATCCGCATGCATACACTGGGAAAGAGCGATACACAAAATCACACGTGTGTGGATATGCCCAGAACGCACATGCACATGTTTGCAATGATGCAAACATTTGTTGGCTGATCGACTCTAGGTAGGAAAGCCTTCACTTAGAAACAGGCATGGTTGCAAGGCGCCCATGTAATTACTGGGCACCTGGTACCTTTCCTCCCGTGGGAAACACACCCCCAAGCAGTATGAAAGGCTTACAGGTAGAGCTTGGCTGATGCGTCCCTGACTTCCCTTGCCCTGCAAAGGCCCACGTCTGACCTCTTCTCTCTTCAGATCACGCTGGCCACCATTGGCTACGGAGACAAGACACCCAAAACATGGGAAGGCCGCCTGATTGCGGCCACCTTCTCCTTAATCGGTGTCTCCTTTTTCGCCCTTCCAGCAGTAAGTACTTCAGCCTTCTCCCTAGTGTGATTATTGGGACCCGTCCCCAGCCCCTGGCCCCAGCTGCCCCTTTCAGACTGTCCTACAGGTTGGGCTCCTCCAAATCCCAGTCTCAAGGCTGCTTTCTTTAAACGGACTTAGCTGACCCCTTTTCTGGGCATAACTCTCTAAAGGCACTTCTGACCCCGTGCTGCATCCCCCCACCCCCCCACCCCCAGATTGTGAGCTCCCTGGGAGCTGGGATTATGTTGCCCACCCACGTCTCCCCAACACCTTGCATATGGCAGGTCCTTCGTCTTGTCTCCCTTCCCTTGTCCTGCTGTTTCATTTACTGGCTTATGTAAAAAAAATGCATCTCCCTCAAGAGTGGGTATCTGGCCCATGATAGAATAACCCCCCCACAGCCCAGTGCCCATAAGTATAATGCAACAGTCACAGAAAACACTTATTAGACTTACTGTGTGCTGGACTCAGGTCAAATGCTTTACCTGCATCATCTCATCTAACTTCATTTAATGGCAACATGCGGAGTTTGGGGAGTTTTTGTCACCGTAGTCCAGATGAGAAAACTGAGGTTCAGTTAGGTCAGTCAGGTTTCCATGGTTGCAACGTTATTGGGTTGTGGGCTCGGGCTCTTAATCATGAAGCTGGAAGGAACCTTCTTAGGGAGCAAGCCTGCTTCTACCCCCTTCATCTCCCAGAGCTAGCCTCAGTGATATCCTTCCTCCACAGTTGCCTACCTTGTCTGTGTTTCCTAAGCTCGCTGACCTTGGGCATATGACCTTTGTGAATCTCAGTGTCTTCATCTGGAACGGGTCAGGGGCTGTGGGGGGTACGGCATGGTCTCGAAGCTTTCTCCCAACTTGAAAAGGGAGTGCTTCTATCCACGTGCACATCTGACCTGGAAATCAAAACAGGTGACGATTCTGGGAAATTCCAGTAAAAGTCTTAAGTGACCATTGAAGCAGCTAAAATACTTTTTACCTCCCATTAGCATTTACCTGGCATCTGTTCTGTGTCATACTTCTTAACAAACGGCTCCAATACATCGTTTCCCTTTTTGCTTAACGAAATTCTGAGAGAGGTAGTGTTAGCCCAGTTCCCTGTGGAGGAGTTGAGATGGAGTAGATAAGAGGCTTGCCCGGGCTCTCCCCTCTGGAAAGTGACAGAGTCAGGAACTGAAGCCAGGCCTTCCTGACATCAAGGCTCCACGTAACCCAGCCATCTACTCCCTAGAAGAGTAGAAAAGAGCCTTTGTGGCCCTGGGAGTGGGCATGGGGCACCCAGAGAGGCCAGCAGGGTTGACTGGGGCCTGACTTCTCCCTCTAGGGCATCCTGGGGTCAGGACTGGCACTCAAGGTACAGGAGCAACACCGGCAGAAGCACTTTGAGAAAAGAAGGAAGCCGGCCGCTGAACTCATCCAGGTCTGTCTGCCTGGGGAGGAACGGGGTTGGGACCAAGCTCCTGTGCATCTGCATTTGTCGGGGTGGGGGGTGGGGGGCTGGGGGGATACTTCACGGCAGGGGGCCTGCCTGGGGCTAGGCATGGGACCCGGGACCGTGCTCACTTGCAGACAGCTGTGGGTGTTCCTGTGGTGATCTTTTGACCTGTCCTCATGGCATGAGCATGATCATCCCAACGCTCCTCCACCCAGATTCTAAGTGAGAAGGAGACACAGGACTCCAACAGGGACCTAACACGCCATCGGCTGTTTTACGAACAGTGTTGGAGTGGAGAATTTAGCTTGCCCTAAGTCCATATGAGGCTTCTCCTCCTTCCACTTCCCACCTCCATTCTGACCTAAGGACACACAAGGAAGAGCCAGGCTAGAGTCCAGGTGCTTAGCCAATCGGCTACAAGAAGATGTGGCCCCTCACATATGCCAAGGACGGAGAATCCATAAGTCAAGAGAGAAGGAGATACCTTATATGTGCTCAATTTTGGACAGTTGGCCCCTTCGTCCTGCCCAGTAGACAATCATGCACGAGTAGGTGTTGGACGCCCAACAGCTCCATCACTCCCACACTGTGGGCTGGAAGTAGGGAGGATGTTGAGAGCTGGAGAGTAAGGCAGAAGTGGTCCTGTTCATGGTTTTGTGGGTACAGAGAAGAGGAGGGTGGGGTACCCTGACTACGGCTGCATGGGACCCAAGGTATATGTGACCACCCACCATGAAATTGCACCCAGTGTCCTGAGGGTCTCTGTGGGTCTGTGGGTCTGACACTGGATGGTACATGATATTCTTTTATATAATCTAGTGTGATGGCCAGACCACATCCCTAAGGGTCTGGTCCATTATCCCCCAGGCCCCGGACCGTCACAGTAGCCCTGAAGTTTTAGTACATTAGAATCGAAACTTCATCTCCGGAGTCTTCTCTTGCAACTGATGTGGCACAAAAGACAGTGTTTATCCCCTTAGCTGTTTAAGAAGTCTCAGGGAAACTTGCAGCAAGAGTCACCCCTGCTCCTTCTGGGGATTTTATACCCAGCACCCTCTTCTCCTTCCGCTGCATTGCTCCGCACCCCCTCCCCATGGTATAAGTCAGGGCTCCAAAATGATGGATGGAAGAACGATTCCTTCTACAGGATCCACGTGCCAGGAAACTTGCCTTCTCTGCCTATCACCTCAATGCATATTTAAGCTCTTAGAGGAGTCAGGGGCTCCTCTAAGGGAGGAGGGGCTGCGGGATTCCATGGGAGTTGATTGATGCAGGGTGATCTGGTGACCCCAGCCCCTCTTCTCTCCCCCCAGGCTGCCTGGAGGTATTATGCTACCAACCCCAACAGGATTGATCTTGTGGCGACATGGAGGTTCTATGAATCAGTCGTCTCTTTTCCGTTCTTCAGGCAAGTGGCGACCTATCTGAATGCTCTGGGGGTGACTGGCCGTCCCTCCTGTGGGTCTGTGTTGGTGCCTGTGGCTTCACAGTTCCTTGGAGAATGGGGCATGGTTCCTGGTGTTTGCCGCCTATTAGAATCACTGGGAGCTTAAATAATCCCAAAGCCCAGGCCACACCCCCAGTTAATTAAGTCAGAACCCCCGAGAGTGGGGGCCAGGCATCTATACCATTTGAAGCTCTCCAGGTGACCCCACCAGAGATTGCCAGCTAGACAGTGTAGAGTGGCTGACAAGAGAGGGTCTGATCATTGTTTGACCAGGGCCGGTGTCTGAGGAAATGGGGAGTGGGCCTCACGAGCAGTCCTGGATGCTCCCCCCGTGTGGCCATGGCCTGTACCCACGGCACGGGTTTTTCTGGATACTGGGAACAGGCAGGCTCAAGAGGCAGTGGGAGGAATCCTCCAATGACCCAGAGATGTTGTTTTGTGTTCTTAGAGGTGGGAAATTAATTTAAAGGTCTCAAGGGCACCTGGGTGGCTCAGTTAAGCATCTGACTCCTGATTTCAGCTCAGGTCTTGATCCCAGGGTCCTGGGCTCGAGTCCCACATTGGGCTCCATGCTCATCGGTGAGTCTGCTTCTCTCTCTCTGTCCCTCTCCCATCTTGTGCTCTCTCTCTCTCAAATAAATAAATTAAATATAATTAATTAATTAATTAGTTGCCTAAGGAAAAAAAAAATAGAAACCTCTGCCCACGGCCAACCCTTGTGACAAGGAAGAGGGAAGTTCATACTCCCTGGATATCCAGTACGTCCGAGGGAGCCAAGTTCATACTTCGTTCACTCCTCACAGGCGTCCTACAAGGAAGGCCAGAGGCTCTCAGATGCTAAGGTGCATTAAATTAGCCGGGTGCTTTGGAAGTGTGGGTTTTAAGCCCGCCTTCAGCCACTTCAGGGGTGCAGGCTGAGTAAACCCTCTTGGACAGACGCCCTGTCTGACAGGGTGATACAGGCTGAGAGGTCGGGTCACCAGACTCCTCTCACAGCGGGGCGAGCTGGGGTCCAGAAACTTCAGACATTCTGGCCAATGTCTGCCATATCAAGAGGCCCCCAAAGTCTGTGGCTGTTTTACTACTTGGGCTGTTAAGACAAACCAAGCCTCACGCCTCTCTGGGTGTTTGTTTGTTTGTTTGTTTGTTTCATTTATTATTTTATTTTATTATGTTAGTCACCATACAGTATGTTGTTAGTTTTTGATGTAGTGGTCCACGATTCCTTCTTTGTGTGTAACACCCAATGCTCCATGCAATACATTCTGTTTGTTTTTAGATTTTATTTATTTATTTGAGAGAGAGAGTGAGAGAGAGAGAGAGAGAGAGTATGTACGAACAGGGGCAGAGGGAGAGGGAGAAGCAGGCTCCCTGCTGAGCAGAGTGCCTCTCTCGGGACTCCATCCGAGGACCTTGAGATCATGACCTGAGCCAAAGGCAGATGCTTAACCAACTGAGTCACCCAGGCACCCCCTCTCTAGGTTTTAGATCCTGCGATCCTTAGCTGGGATTTACAGTGTGTGGATGAAATGAGGAACCGCCCTACCTCTTGGGTTGGGAGGAAGAGTAGAGGGACACTCAGCCTCACACCTGGAGCTGGGCCCGGCTCTAAAGCATGTTTCTTCCACACCCCTTTGGTTTCATGGACCCAACACTAGCCAAGTGGCCCCTGCATCCCCAGCCCACGCTCCCACTTACTTATCATGGGACCTATGCCCAGTCCCTTCACCCCCACCACCAGATTGTGACACAGATTTAAGGAGAGTCAAGAGATCTGGGTTCCACTGGCTCGTTTCCCTGCACTAAACCTTCAAGGAGATGACTGAGACAGAATAAAATCCACAACCTGACCATGGACGACAGAGCCCTGAGAGCTCGAGCTTACCTCTCCCATCTCACTCCTGCAGAGCTGCTAGTGGCAGGTGCTGCTTCTTACTCAGGGCATCCCATCCACCAGTCACAGGTGGCAGATGAAGGAATCTGACCTTGATCCCGAGCCAGAGTGTGACATAATCGGATCCGTGTTTCAGGACGATGACAGGAAGGGTTTGGAGATGGATGGGAAAGGTTCAGGATTCTAGGCAGGGAGATCAGCAAGCAAAGGCCTGCAGCATTCAGGGTGAGAGCAAGCCAGGGTGTAGACCAAGGTAGAAACTTGAGAAGGGCGATACGGGGAGTGAATAAGCAAGGAGAAGGGACGTCAGGGAGTCATGACTGACAGAGGACTTAGGGAGAAAGAAGAATCAGGGCTTCCGCGAACAAGTGATGGAGTTTGGGTTTATGGACCATGTCTTCTCACCAGCAGTTAGATTCACTGCCTCAGAAGACGGTCTTTTTGGTTCACTTTCATTCTAAAGTTCCATTTGTGTCATCATCATTTCTGGTTGGGGATGACATCTCTCTTCTTTTGGGTCACAAGAGTCTTTGAAAGGGAAGGCGGCCTCCCTTGAAGAGGACAGAATGACCTTGGACTCAGAGGCAAGAACAGGTGCAACCCCTCTGAGCGCAGAACCAAAATTATTTCCATTTGCTATGCAGCCCAAGGTCTTGGCAAAAGGCCCATTCTTTTGGGGTGATTTGTTATAAATAAGGCATTGTCCTGGCTGTCAGGGACTTGGAGGAATACATTGTACTGCAGACAGCTGCTGTGATATGGGAATGGATTTTAAACTGAGAATCAATCTCTTTCTTTCTTTCTTTCTCCTTCCTTCCTCCCTCCCTCCCTCCCTCCCTCCCTCTCTTCCTTTCTTTCTTTCTTTCTTTCTTTCTTTCTTTCTTTCTTCCTTCCTTCCTTCCTTCCTTCCTTCCTTTCTTCAAGGACAAAAATATCAAGTCACTAGACAGGTTCACTTAACAACCATTCTGAAACAACACAGTCCCTTGGGAAAAGAATGTCCCTGAATTCCAGCCCACTCGATATATTTCATGGCAAAGCTGTCCTCACCTGCCGCCTATAGGTTTTTTGTCTTTTGTTTATGCTTTTCTAAAAAAAATTAATAATTATGCTTTTCTAAAAATAAAATTAATTAATAAAATTTATTAATTAATAAAAATTAGTAAAGTAAGAACTTTATTATGTTTCCCTTACTCTAAAAAGTACTTTTGAAAGTGAACAATTCAGTGGTTTTTAGTATATTCACACAATAGGGCCTTGAACACCACTATCTAATTCCAGAACATTTTATTGCCCCAGAAAGAAACATTGTCCCCATTAGAAGTTATTCTTGGCTCCCCCTTTTCTCCAACCCCTGCAACTTCGAATCTATCTTCTGTCTCTATTCTATCTATTCTGGACTTTTCATATAAAAATGAAATCCTACAACATGTGGTCATTTAGTCATGGTTTCGTTTCCTTAGCATGTGTTTTAGGTTTCATCTGGGTTGTCCTGTGTATCAGAACTTGATTCCTTTTAATGATTGAGTAATATTCTATTACAGAGCCCCATTTTGTTTATCCATTCAGCAGGTGATACACATCTGGGGGGTTTCCACTTTTTGGGCTATTATGCTGATGTCCACATTGTGTGGATGCAAGTTTTCGATTTTCTTGGGTTTATACCTAGGGGTAGAATGGGTAACTCTGTTTAGCTTTTTGAGGAAGTGCCAGACTGGTTTTCCACAGTGGTGGCATATCTGACATTCCTCCCAAAGACTTTGCAGGATGAAGGTGCATAGCCCATCCTGAGGAAGGGTGCCATATCAGGGTTTCCAGCTCAGTGCAGTCCTTCGTGAATTCTCAAGGATATATATGTTTAGGGCTAATGGTGATGGATGATTATGATGGATATATTTTTTTTCTTTTGTTACTACTTAAAATTATAAACTCAGTGTTTCTGAACTGTAAAGAAATTCAGAGAGTTTTAAGTCCAAATTCAGCTTAATAGAAGAAGGAACTGAAGTGTCCTGGAGTTCAGGAACTTTCTCAAGACCACACATCATGTTGGGGATGGTTGAGACCCAGCCCATATCTTCTGACTTCTTGACCAGTGAAGACTGTGTACACTTAGGACAAAGAGGCATTGGGAGTCTGAGAAGGTACAGGGAGAACCTTAGGAGTTGATAGATCGTACGTTCTTATGTGCAAACACCTGTGAGTGCACACATTTAAGACCACCTGTTGCTTTCCATCAAAAGGGAATGTGCATGCCACTTGGTTTCTTAAATGTTGTGGTAGAATTATCTAAGGCACATCTGTATTGTTTGATATGGTACCACTAGCCATTTGTGGCTTTTGAGTGTCTGACTGTTACTAGTGCCACTGAGGAATTACATTTTAGATTTTATTTAATTTTAAATTAGTCATATGTGACTACTGGTTACCATATTGGACAAACATTAGATATTAGAACTAAAATGGAGGCAAAACTTAGGCCCAAGAGATAGAAGTTACTTGACTAAGAAGACCCAGTTTATTTTTTGTTTAACCAGAACTTGTTCCTTCTCTGACAAGCATCAAGATAGTTGGAGGGTTCTGCAGTAGAGAAGGGGACATATGTAGCTATCCTTCCTCATGGCCAAGTAACATGGATCTGCTTTCATAGATGCTCATTTCATCTTTCGAATGCTCTGGAAGAGAAGAAGGGGTAACATCATTTTCATAACCCAGATATTATTAGTGAGGAATCAGAGCATCAGTGAGATTAATTAGCTTGCCTAATGTCACCCCTGTAGTAAGTGGTGGAACAAAGATGAGAACCCAGGTCTTATGCTAAAGCCCATTGTAACTTAGGGAACAAAAAGTTTTGGGGGGAGAAAACTGGGTAAAATTAAGATGAGGGAAGGGTTACTAGGATAATCATACCCATTTCAGAAGATTCTTGTCATGAAGGTCAAACTGAACACAATGCATGGAAGCACCTGTCACAGTACCTGGCCCAGAGCAGGTGTTCAGTCTCTGCTGTCTGGGCTAGAAGGAAGCATTGGTGTTCTAGCAAGAAAGAAAGACACTAAGCACCCAAGTATAGTCATGGGAAACCACTGTCAGCGAGTGACAACAGGGCTAAAACACTCTGTCTGGAATGTCGTTAAAATCTTTTATTTATTTATCCCATTCGTTCATCAAGTGTTTACTGAACCTCTCTTATGTGCAAGGCACTGTGTTTGGCACTGGGGACAAAACAACGAACCGAAAGGGGTCAGCTCTGCTGATCTTGTGACAACGTTGATGGAGACACAGACAGGGAAGTGCCCACTGGATGTTTATCCCTTGGAGTTTGTTGGAGCTTTGCCTGGAGCAATCTCAATGGAGCGATGGGCATAGACACCAGCTTGCAAGGACCAGAGAGTGACATGGAAATGAGCACATGGAGACAGCAAGTGCAGTTGCCAGCTGGAGTGAAATGTGGGGCCAGGGCTCTTGCCTTGACTGAAAGAGTCTAGTGGAGAGGGATGGTTGTGAATAGAGTGAAGAGGGGAGGGACTGGAGGAGAGAGCAGGGCAGAAGGATGGGTTCTGAAGCACGAGTGGAGGGTTGATGTCAGGGTCATGGACCCTGCATCCGTGTGAACAGAAGGGAAGCAGAGTGGGCAGGGCCAAGTGTTCGAGGTTGCTGACTTGGTGGGGGGACACAAGGCAGCTCTCTCTGTGTGAGAAGTGAATCAAGGTCATAGCCTGGGAGGGAGAGGAGAGGTGGGAAGTGTGATAATAGAGAAAGCATGGAATCCTAGTCTTGGAGAGTAAGAAAGGAAATGGAGGGTGGGCTCTATCTCCTTAACACTTCTCCCCATGGTGCCCTGTATGGGTCCCGCCCTCTGCCCACCCCCTACTTTCCCCTCTCCTCTCAGTGCTCTCCCTACTTCCAGAGTCAGACACCCAGAGAATTCTAGAAAGGCAGAGCGTTTTCTGTACACATGCTTCAGGTAGGGGGATGGGTCCAGAGGATGTGTGACCCATCCAAGGCTACCTGGGATTAGAGAGCGAGCTGACCCATGAGCTGGAGACCCTTGGCTGGTCCCTCTGCTTCTCTACCATGATGCCTCTTATTTGCTCCCCATTTCTTCCCCATTTGCTCCCTGATCCCAGGGATAAGCCACTTATTCATGCAGCATCTGTCGTGCATTTCCCATGTGCCAGGGTATGGGATGCTCAGATTTCAGAGCTGAAAACAACAGAGGTTCTGCTCCAAGCAGCTCATAGACTACCATGTGATTGTACAATGGTGGGATCAGAATTCAGTCCCATGTGTGAAGAGCTTAGCTCAGCCTAGACCCTGGGAATATGGATAAGAAATTTCAGGAGGGGGGTGCCTGGGTGGCTCAGTGGGTTAAGCCTCTGCCTTCGGCTCAGGTCATGATCTCAGGGTCCTGGGATCGAGCCCGCATCAGGCTCTCTGCTCAGCAGGGAACCTGCTTCCCCCCCCACCACCTGCTACTCTGCCTGCTTGTGATCCTCTCCTCTCTGTCAAATAAATAAATAAAATCTTTAAAAAAAAAAATAAGAAATTTCAGGAGGGGCTGAAAGTCCCTTCAGCTGGGACTTGAAGGATGAACAACACTGTTCCAGGCAGAGCCTGGGCAAAGGCTTGGTGTCTGGAGTGTGTGCATACCACTCGTGGTTAGGAGGGTGGGCTCTGGAGCCAGATCACCTGGGTTCAAATCCTGACTCTGCTACTTCCTAACTGTGAGAACTTGAGCAATGTTCTTTACCTCTCTGCCTCAGTTTTGTCATCATGAAAATGGGAATGATAATACTCCTTCCCTCATAGAGTTGTTATGAGGGTTAAGTGAGTTAATCCATCAAAAGAACCGAAAATAATATCTGCCTAATAATTATTGCTCAGTAAATATTAGCGGAGATGGGGATGATGTCGATGATGATGACATGGTGACAGAGTGATGTGGGGTGTGGTGCTAAGTGATGCAATTCCTGTTTTTTTCTGGTCTGTCCCCACTGCTAAACAAATCCCTTGAGCCCCACATGAGGCCTGGGCCAGAGCAGGTGCTTGGCAACCATTCTCTGGGTGAGTAAATGAATGAATTGGCGGGAGGAACCCTGAGAGCTTAGGGCCAGGCCTTTGTGGTGGGACCTGGGGTCTGGCTGGAGAAAGTCAGCTCATTCGCTGGTTCCCCTGAAGACTCACCATTTCACCTAAGAGCACCACTGTGTGCCTTCGCCTTCCTCAAGGGACGCTTTGGGGCCGATTGTGGGGAGAAGTGAAACTGTTCATGCAATTTATACCTTCTCTATATTTTTCTTTCTCATCCTCTCTTAGGAAAGACCAGCTGGAAGCAGCAGCCAGGTATGTTTCTGATCATGAATTCCCTTCTTCCCACCATGATGTTGGGACAGAGGAGCCAGTTCAGTATGGTGTATGGACCCTGGGCAGCATGGTGGTCTTGAGCTCAAGTTTAGGGCTCATTGCTGTTGCTGACTACTGTATTCTTCTGCCATTTTCATGTTAATTTACTCAAGGACAACTCAGTTGCGATCATAGCTACAGCCACTCGGCGAGCAGGACCACCAGGAATTCTGTGCCTGGAGTTCTTACATATGTTGTCTCACTTGGTCCTCAAAACCACATTATAAGACCACCCTTAGTACCCTCACTTCTGAATTGACACTGAGGCTCAGAGCGTCTTGAGTTATCCCCCTTGTGTCACACAGCTACCGAGTGACAAGACAAATATTCCAACTCAGGTCTGAATATGAAAACCACATTGTTTCCATTATATATTGCTTCCTTTTCTTCTCGGGTTCACAGATGCCTCCTCAAAAAGTGAATCATGAGGATCATTCATGATCCCCAGGAAACCGCAGCCGACCAGGCTGCTGCAGGGGCAGGGTGGGCTTCTGGATTCTGGGCACGTCTGTGTCCCTCCCTTCTCTCTCCCTCTCCATAAGATGTCACCACATCAGGGACACTCTGGCCCCTGCTCAAGATTGTAAAGAAATGCCATCTCTCACCCACATCAGTTTATTTATAGATTTATAACTATAAATGTAGATGTACTTTAATCTCTTACTTTGAGAACCTACTTGTGAGACCTTGTACTCTGTCTCCTGGACACTGGGCTCAACTGCTGCTTTCCAGAGCTGACGGAATTGGAGTGCAGGGGCTGGCGGGACCCTAGGCTACATTATAAAGGAACCACTTAAAGACAGTGACCTTTGGGAAGCTAGGTCACAGCTTCTTGCATGGGGCCCATGATGCCCTTTCCCATCTGGAATCCCTCTTGGAAGAAACATTTACAGACAAACCAGTTTACTCGCACACAGACGCTCAGTTCAGACTTCCTGCTTCCCTTGTGTGTGTCCTCAAACGGATGGAGTGTTTCTTGCCTGGACCCCGTTTGGACTGTAGGGGCATTTGGGGGTTGTAGAGGGGGCGCCGAATGACTGACAATGACAATGTCAGGGGACATTTGTCATCAGAGAACCAGCTTGCAAAGGCAGAGCAGGAAGATACCTCAGATAGCATCCCCTAGATACACCTGTTAAAGCTGAGATGCTGTCGTTAAAGAGGGCTGGTTCACCCCAAATCCAGAGCCTGTGAGCCCCAGGATTACACAGTCTAAGTCTCAGGACTCCCAGAAAGGTACTTTGTCCTCTCTTTCTCTCGGGACCAACAGAGTTTTGAATCATAAAGGTGTTGACATTATAAGTGAATTACCCCATAGACCTGAGAGCCTTTTCTACGGAGACATGAGCAAAATTCAGCCAAATTGGAATGTATGTGCAAAATACCACATGTGCATCAGATCATGCACTTCTGGCTTAATTGGAGCCTGGGGAGATGCATTCTGAGGGTTTGTTGAGATGTTCTCCAGTTATCAGAAAGGAGCTGTCTGGAATCTCAGCATGTTCTTCATGCTCCTCTCGAGAACTCTCTGCTCTGTCATGGGTGCAGAGGGAAAGCACATTTCATGATTTCTCAGAGTTGCCAGCCTTTTGCTGGCTCATCCCTCCCCACCCCGCCCCACCACCAGGAAGAAGAACAAGGTCTGTTACGTAAGCCATGCGATCTCCCTTTCCAGGCTCTGGTGCAGTATTTTGGGTTTGTTCAGCAAAGAGGTTGGCTGATGGATTGGCAGGTGAGATACCAGGTGTGATTTTAGCTGCGAAGCTGGGAGACGGGGCATGAGACCTGGTGAATGTTCTGGGGGAGCCGTCGACCCAGGCATCATCAGTTCCTTTATCCAGGAGGACAGAGAGCAAGGCGAGAGAATGATGAGCAGTGTTCATGTGCATTAAGTGAATCCTTGCAGATGGATGTTTTCCAGCCTTTGTATTAACTTCTTCAACAGGTTGCCAGGTAACTGGTGTTTTGGTCTTAGTTATTATTTTTTCTAAATAGCCAGAATCAGATTGGAGTTCATCTCACTGCCCCCTCTAGGCATAGGCGGTCCACACCTCTGTTCATGTGTTGGACTGAGGAAAGTATTCTGTTCTCTGTAACTTAATGTATCTCGGTTCTCTGTGGGGGTAGGAAAAAGGAATTTCATCAGCTTATTGGAAAGAGCTCCAGCCCATCATTGCTTATAAATCTGTTGCTTGGCCCCACACCCCACCAAGGGTCAACAGAGAGATGAGCTTCTCTAGTCGCAAGATCAGGGCTACTTTGAGTGTTTAGGGAACTTGAGCCCTGCTGACATCCGACAATGGCTGAGAAGTCGGCTTTGATCATTTTATGCTTCTTGGGATCTATGATTCTGGGGCTAGTCAGAAGGAAGAGAACCAGCTTCTGTTGTGTGCTTACTAAGATCTCAATACTTTCCTAGGTCGTCTTAATTAATTTGCATAAAAAACGAGACAGCTGTCATAAACACACCTTCTTACCCCTCGTGGTACCCTGAGGTAGGTCTCAGCACTCCCCTAGTAAAACCTTTGTTCTGTGTACAGTCAAAATTTAAATTCTCTCTTCCTCTCTAGACCATGAGCTAACACTGTGCCTGAAGTATAGAGTGTTCCCCCCAAAATTTATTTGTTGAATGAGCAAACAAATGACTTAATGAAGGAGGTTCTGTACCATCATTTTACTTGCGTGACATTGAGCTCAAGTATTTAGTTAACTTACACCTTCGCCAAGCACAGAAGTAGCCAAGGTGGGGATTTCAAGTTTGGGTCTGTCTGGCTGGACTAGATCATATCAGGTTGAGTCCCACTCTGGCACAGGTGATTACCATGCCCTGCTTGTCCTCAGGGGTAGAGAGTGAGCTCGGTTAGTCTGAAGACCCAGGAACTTGGCACTTGTGCTCTCTCAGTCAGGAAATCTTAGATCCCGTCTTCACACAGCTCATTCCTTCACCTCATTCAGAACTCTGCTTAATGTCACCTCCCAAGAGAGACCCTCTTTAACCCTGTGCCTGTGCACCATCAGTCTCTATGCCCTTGATCCTACTCCATTTTCATTGTTAGCACTGATGAATATCTACTGTATGTTTATTTCTTGTCTGTCTTCCATACTAGGTAGAATGCCTCCAAAGGTCTGTGTTATTATCTCTAGCACCTAAAACAATGCCTGGAACACAGCCTAACACTTGGTTAACTTTCAGTAGTATTAACTTACTAACAAAGTGGGTGGGCATGGGGGTCGATGGATGGATGGACGGATAGATGGACAGACAGAAAAAGTCTTATTCTACAAGTGTCATAAACCCAACTTAAACTACCTTGGACTAAGAGACAGATGTAATGGCTCATATAGCCACCCATCAGAGATGGTGAGATCCCCGAGAAACAAGGAATGGGATTCTTCTGGTATTTTTCTTTTCCTCTCGTGCTTCCACTTCTCCTTTCTTGTTTCATTTTCTCACTGATTTTCTACATGCTGATGAAGGTGTGGAGACAAGCAGCTCTGTGATCACATACTTTTTTCATCCTTCTCTATCTGTCTTTCACCCAATGCCTGTTTGGGAAACCCCAAAGAAACACTTAGATTGGCCCAATTTTGGTCACATATTCATGCCTTGGACAATGTGTATGGTTCAGAGAGTAAGAGGCTACGACTAGACAAACTCTGATGCCTCTGTCCACCTGTTAGAGTGAGCATCGTGGGTTCCAGATGCCAGGAGGGACAGCCCCCATTAGAACCTCTTGGTTGAAGTTGGAGTAATCAGTTCCCCATTTGAATAGGGTCTTTTCCCCCCAGAAAACAGAGGATAGAAACATAATGCAGGCAAAAATGATAGCTGCCTATGACAGTATAAATCCCACCTGAAATTTTTCAAATAACTACAAATAACGTGCATTAAAGAACATCAACAGTAAACCATACTGAGGCTCATTTAATCCATGTATTATACCAGAAAAGACTGGTAATTTATGGTAGGGACATCATTTTAAACCTCATTCACAATTTTTCAGTAGACATGAAGCGGGGCCAATAATGAGAGGCATTTGTTTGGAAGAAAATAGTGTTTTGTGCATTTTCAAAACAGGTAACTGTGTTGACAATAACGGCTTGCTTGAGCCATATTGTTTACTTTGTATTTTCAAATAATTCCATCTTAGCAACGGCATTCAGGACTCTTCTGCTCTGTATATATCTTTGGAAAGGGAAGATATTCATCCCAGGCCTCTTTATTTCCTGTCTCATTGTTATGTCCTCCCGTTTTCAGAGCTCTCCCCTTTAGTAGTCAAAAGTAGTTCTTTTGGGTCAAGGAATTTAAGTATAATAACAATAACTTATAAAGAATGTTTCCTGTTTGCCAGGTATAATTCTGTATACATCTAGCCATCATAGCCACCCTAATGGGGAAGATACTACTTTGAATCCCTGTTTAACAGACAAAAAAACTGACGTTCAAAGAGATAAGTGATTTTTCAGGATCCTGCAGGTAGGCAGTGGCAAGAACGAAAATTGATCTGGTTGGGTTAGGGCCATGGTGTGTGGGTCCAGCCACCGTGCTGGTCGTCATAGTTATCAGAGACAGTTAGGTGGTTGCAGTCAGTCACCACGGGTGTCCCCTTTGGCTTGTTTGGTTTTCTTCTGCAGCTCCTGGGCTCGCTGTAGCTGGAGTCCTTAACATGAGAGGAGGCTGTGGAGGCAGAGAAAGGCACAGAGCCAGGGTCTCCTACGGAGTGAAGGAGCATTTGGTCAAACACTATAATTCACAGTTTACCTTCTCCCTGTGACACTGGCCACCTGAAATTGATCTCACAGGGTGACGGATGATGTTGGCAGTAAACCTCCTTCTGTGCCTTGGAATCAACGCCTGTTAAAGGTGCGCAGGAATTTAGAGGCTAATCCAATCCCCCAATTTTACTGATGAGAAAATTGTTGCCCAGAGCAAAATAAGA